AAGCCTGGCCTTAAAAGTAGACGGTCTGCTTCACAAACTAAAACTGGGAGCTGGTGCCATATATACACACATACATAACAAAATACAAATTGACCTTACCTTACCTCAAAAAATACTAAAGCACAAAATAATACCATATCTTATTTTTGTTGTTATTATTATTATTATTATTATTATTATTATTATTATTATTATTATTATTATTAGCAGTAATAGTAGTAGTACTAGTAGTAGTAGTATGACAAAAGACTTGGCCCTTATTAGGATTTAGTGCTCACTTAGCAGGCTAAGGTGCTACCTAACTCCTGACATTCAGAGTTACTTTTATTTATCTATTTTCTTAGGACACATAAACAGCTTAAAATCTGAACAACAAAAGAACATGTGAAGGTTTTGATGGTCTTAATAAATCAAAATGACCACACAGTCACACATCTTGACCTAAAAAATGGGAACAAAAGTGTCTTGAATGGCTTTTTTCATACATTTAAAAAATGATGCCACTCAAAATATGGCGACGAAGCCGCTACCCTTAAGGTTGGGTTCTCGTGCTGCATCTGCTCTCAGAAATCTATTTGATTGGTTGAGGTGTAGGCGCTGTACCAGGAACTCATTTTTCCCCGAACTAGTGGTGCATTCAGGAACGTCTGTAAAAGTTACAATAGGGTTACTTGTCGATATTAATTACCGCATAAGAAAAGGTATATACAGAATTAAACAGGTTGTGACATTATAATATGATCTTTGTTAAGTTGGTGCAATAAATTTTCTGCTGTAAAAACATGCAGCCCAGAACTTATATAGACGTTTAGTTATATGCTGAACACGATAGTGAAGGCAACACAGGAACGCATGGCGGTGTTGCCCTTGGTGCTGATGCAATCGCTTCTCACTAGAAAAAAAGAGATTTAAAACGACCAAAATCCCAAAATAGGCAAATCAAATAATGATTTAAAAAGTTAAAAAATATTGCAACTTTGGAAATAAATCACCTAACTGAGGTAGCTTTTTTTCTTCTTCTTTTTGTTAGCCCAAAGTAATTTATCTCCTTTTACTCTTTTTCAGATTTCAGTGAAGGGAAACAATTTAAAAGAATATTAAAATATGATGTTATTCACACTTATTGTTGAAATATCCCGTTTGTGTTCAGCAATGGGTTAATGAAATAATGCAAAGCTGGAGGGATAATAAAGTGGGTGGAGACATTCCATTTTACTCACTCACTAACCACAAGCATAGATGTTCTTTTTTAATACGTCCCCAAATGTGAATAGGAACAGCTCCAAGAATCCATCAAAGCAGGAATTTGTCATGGAATATGAGTCACTTTAAAATGTACGGGATAAGACAAAACAATTATACTAATGAAACACAATCTATCTCTTTTAATTTTTGAAATTGAAAATGTTTCAGCAGAAATAGTAATCACAGTAGGTTTTCCCTAAAACACCAGTAATCACACCAACTAACTGTGACAGAAAAGTTTGTGCAAAGTGCTTTTCACGCATCCACATTGCAGCTAAGGTGCAGCAGAACTTTTCTCATTTGGTCACTTTACAACTAGAAACTTTTAATAATATAATACTTGATATATTTTATTTGGATTTCTGTGATAAGGAAAAAATAAACAGGTTTTGCCAAATTCTTTTAAATTTTCTGTATTTGCCTTGAGTTAATTCATTTTTATTTAGTTTCTTTGTTTATTCTTGTGTGTGTGTTTTTTGTGTAGATTTGTATTTATTTTCTTAGACTCTTGTTAAAATCTGTGTCTGAAAATATTGAACAGAAGGTTGAATATCTTTCCCAGGTCCCGTGCTTCATTTGCCCAGCGAAGCAGCACAGAGCAGCCTCTGTTTGACTCTGGCTGTTATGTAACTGCTGATTTATATTCTCAGAGTTTAGCTGTTGTGTATTCTCCTGAACCTGCTGCTCTCAGACTGCAGACAAATAGAGGAAGTGTCTCCAAAGAGGGAAGTTTACACAGAGAGCCCAGAACAGATGCAAGCGGATATTTCTGTGCACACATAGCTTTTCTGGACTCGTTTTTATTCAACATATAACATGTAGTGAACCTTTATTGTAACTTTATCTGCCTAACTGAATCTGTGAAAAGATGCAAAAATCCTGCTTGCTTAATCTCCCTTTAGTTTAATCTAGGTAACCTTTAAAAGTTTTTTTTTTTTTTTAATTACTCTCCAGGACGTCTTATTCATTATATTTCTACCTGAATGATACACTCATGACAGACTGGACCAAAACCATAACGAACAGTTCCAACACCTTCTTGAATCTAAGAAGGAGGCTCTGAGGAGTAAAGAGGAGATGCTAGTGAACTAATTCCTAAGTGTATTTATTGCAACTTCTGTTTGTGATTATGTTAATTTGATGTTGGAATACATAGAGTAGAAAAATACAATTTTAATGACTTGTCTTGCTTGTCAAAGTTAGCACCAAAACAAATAGCAAGTCCAAAGGATTTTCACACATACTGTACAATTTATTACCAGTAGGAATGTGATTTCAATCTGGAGAGACTCAGACAGAGAGAGGGAAGCAGTTAAAAGGGTTTAATGACAAAAATAACATGAAAATAAACACAAGTTCTTTGGCGATCAGGCCCCGGCCGGGGACGTCAAGCTGGACTTCGATAAGCTCGATGAACATTCCTGATGCAGCGAGGGAATGTAAACCCCCCGGGGCCTGTGCTGGTGGCGGCGGTCAGAGGATGATGAGGCCTGAGAGCCGGGAGCTGAAGGTGGAGGTGGGGTGGCGGTGGGTTGATCGGGGCTGGTAAGCGGAGGAGGCTGGGAGTGAAGGTCCTTTTGAACCAGAGCCTGGATGATGATTGGCTGGAGTGAGGCTTGGACCTGCGTTGATAGGTCCGGGCTTTTCTTGTTATGTAAGAAAGTTTGGCAGTTGATCGCGAAGCTCATATCACATCAGAAGTCATTATTTGGGAATTCGGCCTCAGGCAGAACCGGATCCAGGACAACTTTGGCCAAAGGGACATTTTTCATCTCCAGTCTCTTTGAGGTTTTCTTCACATGGGAAACCTGTATGAACCTGACATGTGAGAGCTGAACCTGATCCTGTAATTACAGCTATTTTCAACTAAATCTTCAATATACTTCAAAAACAGCTTATCCACTAATACAAAAACACATGTCTTGACACTCTAAAAGCAAACAAGAAAACTTAGACAACTTGGTTCGAGCAGCAGGGGTGTAACGTAACAATACTTAAACATCCAGTATAGACTTTATATTATTTGGAGCTTACATTACACTGCAAACATTGGTATAAGTTACTGGATCATCAGCAAACAGACGCATGTTTCAATAAAAAATATGGGTTGAAATCAGCTGCAATAAAAATGAAATAGCAGTGGGCAGAGAACAGATCCTTGTGGAACACCTGCTGACAGCTACAGAGCAGCAGATTTATGTTTTGTATGTAAACAACAAAGAAATTGAAACTTTTCTATCACATGACTGCATCTTTCAAGAAAAACTGAAACCAGACAATTAAGGTATAACATTGTAGAATATTTCATTGAAATCATGGTGAGAAAATCAGCACTGACTGACTTCCCTGCTCTGTTTGATTAGTGTGGCTCACAGTGACCTGCAAGCCGTGTACTGCAAATAGAAGATGAGGAACATTTTGTTTTCACTCACCTGGGAGGCCAAGAGGCATAAAATACATTCTGAATGTTTGATCTGAAATTTCCTCATAACAAATGTTGCTTTCGGGCACAAGTACAGACTGTGAGCTTTAGAACCTGCAGGAATGCCAAGAAATATCAGAACGAACAGTTCTGTTTTTGTAAAAGTCTTACACTGCTTTTTTTTTAACTTCATTTTTAGTCCAGTAACAGACCATTTCTAGATCAATTATTTTTATTATTTTAGTTGTTCAGACAATTAAAAGGGCTCACAGACTCAAAGAATAAGTCTGTGACAATTGCTTTGTCAGAAAATAAAATTTTCTGACAAAGCAAAACAAACAACAAAGCATTTTAATGCATCTTTAGTCACAACAAACTGTCACCAAGACTCAATTTATTCTTTAATTTTTTATTGACTGTATGAAAAATGCTTGACTTCAAAGACAAGCAGACAGAAAACAGCTTTAGAAGAAGTTTAAGTGCTGAAATCTCTTGTTTTGTCCTCCACTTGTGAAACTCGTGTAGCACAAACTGTTCCCTGAGCTACATGGACTAAAACAGAGTGAAATAACTAAAAAGCTTGAATCAATCAAAACCACTTTAAACAATTACAAGAGGAAATGTGGAAATACTATAACCTAAATTATTCTTTCCTCTGGTAGATATACATTTAAAGTAAACTTTTAAATTTACAAAATTTTTCTCTGACTTAAATCTGTGGAGGGAGCTAAAAATTAGGGTGATGGCAATGAGGCCTTCCAACCTCAGAGACTTAGATATCATCACCAAAGATATAAATATTCAAAATAATAGAAACAAAAAAACACAGCTCAGTAATTATAAGAAGAGATTGATTTCTGTTATGACAACGAAGAGATTTCCATTGATTACTAGGAAGGCTGTAAATCATTTTCAACACATCAATTTTCAAAATAACATATAAACAACACAAAGTATTGAAAGATTTTTGTCTAGTTTCCTATTAAACACATTTTTTGTGACATGAAAATAAAATCTGAATCTAAATTTGTAATAATTTTGAGCTTCCTTATAGTTTTTTCTACATATCATCCTTGTCTTAACTTATTGTGTTGCATGAATCAATATATGCATTCAGTTCGCTGCAGCACTGAAAAGGAATCCAACTAGACATTAAGCCATAAATCTTCTCCAACGTTTGCTCCTGACAGTATTTTTCTTCTGCACGCAATGGATTCCTCTGATGGAAGAACTGATTGCCTGGAGGTTGTGCTGATGCTCAAGCCATTTGTTTTCTCTTTTACTCTCAGGATATCCAGATCCTGTGCTTTAGCCTCACAGAAGGAAATGCTCCTCATTTCATCTCATCCTTTCTACCAGCTGAGCTTCTTTGCACATGGATACCAGACAGTCATTTCTACCTGGATAAATATATTCATAGTTTGAGCAGCGGCACTCTTGTCTGTTAAATTTATTTTCTTTCATTTATGTCATAATTTAGCAAACATTTCTTTAGAAGTCTTTTACAAGACAGAATTTTCAATATTAGTTAAGCATCTAAAAATAAATGCAAGTTTTAAATGTTGTTGATCTGCTTTCAAGCTCCTGTTGTACTAAAATAAAAATAAAATGCTGAAATGATCAGGCCAAATCACAGGTAGACTGTATTATTTTTTTTAATACGATCTAAAGGCATTTTATATGTATGTGGTTCAATTTAATTTGTTTAACTGAATAAATGTGATTAAACTCGGTCAAAGGCCCCATAAATCTATTTAATTCACTTTAATTAGATTATTTTTCAGGTCTTATTGAAGTCTGCTTAGTTAAATTCAACTCAGTTACAGTTAGTAAAATTTTATTTAATTGAAATCAATTAATTTCAGTTCAATTCAGTCACAATCAAATCATGTTAAATCAATTACACCTGCCTGCATTTTTGAAGGTTTTATAGACACATTTTACTAAAAGGTGCTGCAGGTTGAGAAAAATGTAAAAACATGTATTTAATTTTAAAAACTAGCAACATGTCAAAAAAACAAAAAATAAAAAATTCAGATCATTTTAATTTAAATAATTAGCACTGTTTATTAAATAAAACAGTTTTATCCATAGGTATTCATGCTTAATTTCTAAAATTTCTAAGCACCTCTATTTTAGGAAATGTTTTGTAAACTTTTGTCCATTAATTAATACCAACCCAATTCTGAAAATGAGTCTCTCCTCTCAGGTCAACCTAATTAAGTTTATTTCACAAAGAAAAAACATAAAACAAACCTGAACCATGAGCTTTAATTTAGAATCACTGTGACAGAGTCTCAGTTCAAGGACTGCTCTTGAAAAACTGATATCTGCTTCCCTCTGGTGGTCAAATTAGAGCAGCGCAAGAAAATGGAATTGTGAAATTCATTCATTTAGAAGACAATGAATGTGTATCATGTTTAAAGTTAGTATTTATACTTTTAAAAACTTTTAAAAGATTTTAGGGGCTGCAGTTTACCAGCATTACTGAAAACTGCACTCATTTCATTTTAATTTGTCATTTTCAATTACTTTATTTCATCTAAGAGACCAATAAATAAAACAAATAAACGTGAATTTTATTTTAGATTTGCAAATGGTCCACGCAACTCTTTACGTAATGATGTCTCTGCTTTTACCAGCTGGCCGACTTAAATCAGAACAGGAAGGAAGCGAAACGACAGGCGAAACAGAAAATTTATATGCAAGAGAACAGAACAGACTGGGTGAAAGACTGCAGAGAGAGGCAGAGAAAAGAGTTTTTAGGCAAGAATAAAACAGAGGTAACTCCACCAACAGCGCCTTCAGAGCCAAAAGCACTGGCTGACCCCAGAAAACACAAACACTCTCAAACAGAGTCCATTTTCCCTTCACTTCATGAACACAGGATGTGGTAAACGTTTCTTTTTCAGGCCTGATGGTAAAAACCACGCTGATCTCACAAGCACATGAAAACGTGATCACATGTGAGTATATTCCAGAAAAAGCAACATGTTGGGTTTTTCAAGTGTCACAATTTGTAATGAAATGACACCTAAACTGAGAAAAACAAACAAAAAACACAACACCCACATTGTGACCTTATCACAAGTTAGGTTTGTTAAAAACAACAACAAGAAAGCAAATAAAAAAAACAGGAAATTTGACTTTGGTTCTACTTTTTTCCCCAGTGTACAGATATTTTAAAAGTAAATATAAGTTTCTAAAATGGTGGAATATACAGCTTTGTATATTCTGCATAAATATAGTGTTTTTACAGAAGAAGAAAACAAGTTTGAATAAGTGCCTCTGTGCATTTATTCAAACTGAGTGATCATGGGACTGTTAAGTGCCCATCAGAGAAGAAGATGTCTCTGTGGGGGCTGCTTCTGTTGTAACCCGAAGTTAAAAGTCTAAGCGGTTTGTGTCCAGAATGTGTGGGGTCTGCTGAGACGTTAACTGCCCTACTAGCTTGTACATGGATGGAGGAAAGGTCAGCCATGGTGATCCTCTCTGCATTGATGGACAAACAGAGGACAGGCATGATGCCTCTGTACAAGACGAGAGATACACTTCATGCTGAGAGTTTTGGACAGCTGAATAACCCTTTTCGGTAACACTTTATTTGAAGGGGGTGAATAAGACTGTCATGACACTTTCATAAACATGACATAACACCTGTCATAAACATGAATAAGCCTTCATGAATATTTATGACTGTTGTCATAAAGCGTCATTCGGTAAATTATGACATTTTTAATACAAAGTTGACATTATTCAAAATGTCTTTGTTATGACAACTTGACATTAACCAAGAAATCATTACTGTTTAAACTTTACCTTTAATAACATAAAGTTACCTAATTTTTAAAGTGAAATCAATAATTATTTTATAACAAATTTATATCAGTAATGATTTATTGGTTAATGTCAAGTTGTCATAACAAAGACATTTTGAATAATGTCAACTTTGTATTAAAAGTGTCATGAGTCTTATTCAACCCCCTTCAAATAAAGTGTTACCCACTTTTTTGTGTGTGTGATAAAAAAACTGAATTTATTCATGTATTCTCTTACTTTGAGGACTTTTCCAGCAAATAACATCACTGAAAAATTTTGATGCACTGAATCCGACAAGGGGAGTAAAAATCCAGATGAAGTTGTGTGTTTTATGAGTCATTGTGAATTCAGGGGACATGAACCACAAGAGAAAGAAAACTGAAACTGGCTGGTTTAGCTGCGTACATGCATACGTTTCTTGGGTGTACCGAGCTCTGCGACCGCAGCGGAGAGTCACGGAGAAGTTCTCACCTTACGTTTTTCTGCTCATAGTTTTATCAAAGCAAGGTGCTTGTTGCTCAATAGCACGTAGTTTTCCTTCAAAAGTCCAGGTGGCGCCACATTAACCACAAAATGCAACATTTTAGTGACAGTTTCATATCAAAACAGCTGTACTTCATATTATCAGCAGATGCTGTAACAGTGTAGAGATTTAGAAACATCAGATCTGCTTGAATCATCTACAAAACCTTTAGATTGTGTGATTTTCTTATGAATTTATAGTCGAAAATACATTAGCTCTAAAGGAAGCCGTTGCTCTGAATATATTTCATATTTTACTCACAGAAACTTGACTCAAGTTCACAGTTAATGACAGGTGGCCTTTATGAGTGATGGTGGGAGGGTTTCTCAGAAAGAACCACTTTGAGTAACTTCCTGTAATGAAGGTTCAACCGACAGAGGAAATATGACGCAGTTTTACCTTGTGCTTGATTTTAGTGAGGCCCCCATGCACAGTTTCACGTAAAAGCATTTATACCCATAGTACTTCTCTACACTTACTGTGAATGTGTGTAGAGATACTCCTGAATCTAAAGTAATTGTGCCCAGCAGGTGAACAGAGTCTACCTGTGTGTAATTTAATGTCAGTATGAATCCAGCTGACCTGCGAAGGCTTTAGAGGTTTATTAGAGAAACTTAGAGAACAAACAGCATCATGAAGACCAACAAACACAGCAGACAAGTCAAGGAGAAAGTTGTGGAGAAACATAAAGGTTATAAAGTATGAAAATGTTTAATTCAGGAGCAGCATCTTGTTGAAAGGAGAAACTTTCATGTTTTAACAAGATAAAAATCTTGTCATAACATTATAACGAGAAAGTCGCTCGTTACACTAAGATATAAAAATACGATCTGATAGTTTTCTCTGACTGTCTTCTCAGAGGTGTTGCTGCTTTACTGATACAACTTTCTTATTTAAATGAGAAGATATTTTGGTTTTAATGAGATTTAAATCTTATTAAAATAAGAATGTTTTCTTGTTTTAACAAGTTTTGCATCTAAGAAACTGCTCCTGAATTTATTTCCAAGCTCTGGCAGTAAAACGTGTCGATAATAAAGCAATACAACAAGCTCTGTAACCCTTACAGAATGCTTTGTTTAATCCATAATCTGAAAATAGGAAGAGTACGGGACAACTATAAATCTTTATCAGACAAGAAACAACATGCTTATAACAGTGTTTATTAACTCTGAATCATTCATGTTGTAGATGTGTCACTGCTCCAACACAACTGATTAAAATGATTGTATTGCTTCCTCAGCATGACATCAAGTACTTCAGAAGAATATTAATTACTCACTCATTTAGGTGTGAGACAGGAAAACACCTAAAACATGCAGGATAGTGGGCCTGAAGACCACGAGGAAGAAACCCTGGCTTATGGTAAATCTCAACAAGCTGCAGAAATCCCCCAGTCAGGTTGGAAAGTCTGTTAACAGGAAAACAATTAGACATTCTCTACCCAAATCTTATTTTAATTGAAGAGTGGCAAGAAGGAAGTTATTTCAAAATAACAGCCAAAGAAGCCTGCAAGTAAAGTAGGAAAAGAGCAAATATGTGGAAGAAAGAGTTCAGTGAAATAACACTTCCTGGTCAACCTGAAAAACACAAGTAACAAATCAGTGTAAACACATCATCACCACAGCAAAGCATGGCGGTGGCAGCATCATGCTGCAGATGAATGCAGTGAAACACAGGGTAACTCTGGAGGAAATCTTGATGGTTCAGCTTCCATCAAGGCAATAAATCTAAACCAAATCAACAATGAAATGGTTTAAATCAAGGTGCTGCAGTGGCCCAGTCAAAGCCCATGCCTAAATTCATCTGGGAATCTGCTGCAAGACTTTAGAAATTATGCTCCATTTTACTTGAAATCTAATTGTAACAAAAAGCGTCTGCAAAGTATTGACTCCACAGGGTTTCGACAGAAATGCATTTGTGCAAATTATTATGTTCAGATTTTATTCATAAAAAAATTTGAAATACATTTATCACCTTTTTTCCAATCCACAGTTATAAATTACTCTTTGTTGGTCTATCACTTGAATCCCTCATTGCGTGTCTGAGCAGTATAGAAATGAAAAGTTTTCTATAAATTGTTTACCATGAGAACTGAAACACTTTCCACTTCCTGCACTTTTTCGGTAAAACCACCCCAGAGTGCTGTTGGTAAAGAGTGGTCCAATGATACAGGATGTGGAGCTAAACCATGCTTATACTGCACTTTGAACCATGCAGTGTCACAGAAGCCCTTCATTTGGCAGGTGGTCTTCATCTGCTCCCCTCTTTTCGTTGAAATAGTGCTTTGTCACCCTGTCCTGGTGCAGGAGGAGGACTTGTATTCACCTCACGGCCGTCCCTCCTTTATGTGCTGGAGCCTCACAGGACGCTCGGTACAGATGCTCTTGGACACAGCAAACGCCGGCCACAGAAAGTGTGAATAGGGGGCTCTGTGGGTTGCCGAAAAGGGGTTTTGTGGTTCCATCTTTGTGCATGAGCGGAAGTGTGTGTGTATGTGTGTGTGCAGGGTTTTTTTGTTGGGGAGCCGTGTGTTGGCCTGCGCACATGGAACATCCAAAACATGTGCTTCTTTGCATGTGTGCAGGAAGTTTTAAGCAAACACTAACACTTTTAAAGTAAAATATAATCATATGCATTACCATAAAATGCAAATGAAGTCCACAGATGCAGATTCAAGCCCATTCTTCCCTGACAATGATGTACAGTATGAATGGGCAGTGCAGTACATTTGATATCTTGGGGGTGAACTGGCCCACCAGGGAACGATGATCAGTTATTGCAGCAATTACACAGGACATAATCCGTACACAACAGGAATTCAGGGTGAGTGAGAGAGGGACTCGAAGGGAAAGAGGGAACTGAGAGAGGGAGGCCTTTTATAAAAGCCAAGTCCTGCCACTTTGGGAGGAAATTACGGGCAGTGAGACGGCGGGCTTCGGGTCCGAAACGGGAGCCCAAACGAGCCAATGAGAGGCCCCATAATTCTGCTCAAGTGGTGTACAGTATCGTGGGACGCAGGCTGCAGAATTACAGGGTGTCCTGTGAGCATGCGTATGACAACAGAGAAGACATGTAGAGCAAAAGGCTGAGGCTCTGGGCTCCAAAATCCTCTCTGCACGTGACAATTAGCTTACAGTCTGCTCTGAGAAGGTAAGAAAATTCATTTATCAGCATAGCTCAATAAAACTGAAGGAATAAATCAAGAGTGGGTGGAGAAATCAAACTGATGTGATTCTCATTTTTTGCAGGTGATAATATTCCCTCAAAATCCTACTTGCTCATTTGCCTTCATTTTTTTATTTGATTCTATTAGAGAAATTTAATATGGTTACTATACTCTGTACACATATTTTTAAATACATTCTTTGTGTACATTTAAAACATTATGAAGTTGAATCTGAATTTATTTGACATTCTATAAAAAGTGGTGATATTGCCACATTTTTTAGAATTCATGATATTTTTGCAAGAATTTGATGCAAAAGCAGGACAATAAGTGGCATTATAAAGAGTAAAACAGAAAATAGACACTGTTTTCTTTACAATGGCTGAATTGTCCAAAGCTCATGCTTTGGTTTCAGCACTAAGCAGTGAACTGAGCCAAGTTGAAAATGTTCCTCCACTGTATTTGGGTTCAGAGAGTCGGCAGCTTGGAATAAGAAACTGTGGGAAGAAACTTTCACATAAAACACATCAGAACCCATTATACACCAACATAGATTTAAAATAAATATATATTTCAAAGATAAATCTACACCAAAAGCAAAACTTTCTTTAAAAATTGAGAAACGTAGTGGAATCAGCTAAACTCAATCACGTTTTGCACTGGCTGAAATTACTTCATAGAGAAACTTTTGTTGAAGACAAAACTAATTAATAGAGTAGTTCTGGTGTGATTTTTAACCATTTTTCCACACAAAATGTTTAAAGATTCAGCAAATATCTGCTACAGAATCTGGTCTTTAGTACTTTTTTATAAATTTTCAACTGAATTTAACCGACTGGCTCATTATAGCAGCTTTGTTTTCATTCTCTAATCTCAGTAGAGAGTTTCATTGGTTGTCTTTTTGGGGTCATTGTCTTAATGAAACAAAAAATCATCTTCTTCTGGTACATTTCTACATTCAACCATTCTACATTATAACAGCAACAAAGCTGCTCTGCATCATGATTTTCCCATCTTCAGACTTCACTGCTGGGATCCAGGTTTTTGGATGACATGCAGGAGCATTTCTGATCCAATCGGTCCTGTCAGTGGAATCCAAACAGTCCATTTGTTATGTTTTCTACCAGCATTTCATAGGCTTGTCAAAATATTCTGAAGCAAACTTTAAATTATTTTCAAATTTCCTTTTCTTCAGAAGTGGAGTCTTACGCATTCATTACATCCATGTAATTCCACGTTTTTCTGAATCTCTCTGCAGGTGGTTCTTTGCTCTTCTTGTATTTTTGTTAGTCCTTTCCTAAAGATCTTTGATTATCACCTGGTGGTGGCTGATTTATAATGAAATTATGTTGTTTATTTCCTGATTAAAGCTCCAACTTATGTTCACAGTAATAATTAGAAGATTAAGTATCTATTGCCAAAGTCATCAGTATGTTTTGCAACAATAATGTAGCAAAGACTTTAGATGGGTTGTTTGCTGTTACTGAGCATAAAATGCTAATGGTGTGTTGCCTTGGTGATGAGTAACCTTATTATAGGTCTAAACGAGTTGATATCAATTTGCACAGATAAGGAGCATGTTTACTCAGTACTTAATGTCTGTCTTGTTTAGCAGCTGATTTGTTTTGATCTCTGAGTGTGTGTACATTACTTTGGTTGTAACCTCCATCCGGTGTGAATTTAATATCTGTAGCTACATTATAAGCATGTTTACTGGCGTTCTCACTGCTTATGTTTCTCGCAAAACAAGCTGTTTTTGCATGTGATTCACAGGAAGTGGGAGGAAGTACATCTAAGTGCTTAATATTTATTTTAAAAAGTTTTAAATCGGAGAGAATTTGATAAATTATGACGCTCTTGTAATGCAGAGTTCACGTGAGTCAAGGAAAGTAAAGGTGAGAGGAAAACAAGCTGTTGTGGAAATGAAAGAAAACATGCCAGGGTGTGTGAGTGCATCCAAAAGCGAGAAGGGGGGAGAAAAAGAGAGGCGGAGGAGGATTACTTCTCAGCTCAGAATATTAATGAGGGCTTTTGTCACAGATCTTTTTACTCTTTCTTTTCCTTTATAATGTTCTCTCACTCTATCTTTCATGCACACATCTTTAAAAATTCCTCACATTAACCTTCAACCACATCCTACACCATCCCAAAACAAAGTCTGGTGTTTTTCCACCTCAAAATCAAGGATAAAACACTTTCAATCTGACTAAAACAAAAATATTTTTGCAAGAAAAGACATTCATACAGTAACATAAGATATGCAAAAGAAAAAAGGACTAATGCGTGCAACTGCTTTCCCTCTCACACACGTCCACACACACGCAGATGGACACAGTCGTTTCTGTGAATGGCATCTTTTGTCTCTTTTATCTCAGTTCCCAACAAAGCATTCCTGTGTACACAGAGGAGAGAGGCAGCGAGAGAGAGGGAGAGGAAAAGGAGAGAGAAAGATAAAAGAAAAGAAAAGAAGAGGGGAGGGAGATCAGGAAAACATCCAGCACTCCATTGTCTGGCCCAAAGACGAAAGTTTTAATTCAGTTTTTTTTTCTTCTTCATTTGAAGCAGGGGTGTACATTAGCGTTGCCATGGAAACCGGATACAGGCAGCGGGGGAAGGTTGATCCCATTTGCTTCCATTAGCTCCATCAGTTATCTGATACACGGCCCAGGTGGATTTTGTTTTTCCTCCACGAACACGTGAGCGCCGTGCTGAGTTCAGGCGACAAGCGAAAACTGGGTGAGGGTGAGTCAGAGTTGACAGAGTGAGACACTTTCAATGGTGTCATTGTAATTACGAAGCTCACTCTTGCATAATCACAGCAAAGCAATGTAATTAAAAGTGACTGGTTATGTAAGCCACGCTCGGGATTCCAAATGCACAATTTCATTAAGTGTGTGGACGTACTCGCTCTTTTCTGGGCAATTACTTTACATTGGAGTATGAACACACAAGCACAAACACTTGCTGAGGAAAATTACAAGCCACCTTACTCATGGCCAATAATTTCATCCTATTTAATATTTTCATAAGCAGATATGCAGAATAAGAGTCAATCTTAAATGATCGGAAGTGCATTTTATTAACTTTCCCAACAGAACCTTGATGGGCTGAGGGTAATGTAGTTATTTTATTCTCTCAATGTGTGATGCTGTGATACAGAAAAAATGAGATGCACACATTAAGCTTCCTTTAACATTCAACAGGAAGGTTTATTCTTCTTAATGAACATACTCTACATACAAAGCTTATCAAATGATTAATATTAAATGCTCCAGGTATCACTGAGTAGCTGCAATAAGTAGCACTTTGATTCAGTGCATCACAAATGGCTGTAATATTCCTTTAAACCGAACAAGAATTATTTTAACATGCTCCATTTAACATCATGAATTTTATCAAATGACAAAATCTATTCACAGATGGTTTTTAATTCTCTAAACATATACATTTTTTAGGTAGTGCTTTTAACTCAAAATCTGTGTCCTTTTTTCTCAGACCTTTTGTGTTTTTAACTAACAAAATAAAGATATGAATTTGCTTCTAATTATTTTAATAGCTTTTACAACTTTTATTATGTACAAATAAAATATACTTTTTTAGCTTTTAACTGTATCCATTGTTTTAACAGTTTAACAGTATTTTATCTCTTACAGAAAAAACTGACTACAGAAATGAAAAAGGTGTAATGTTTCTTTAATCATGCGTCACTTTACTAAACTTCACACATAGGCAGCCATTACCTACTTACTGAAAGTCATAACAATATGGTTTTTCAGGTTTTTGCAATAAATATGCAATGTCCAATTAAGGAGACCAAAATAATGTAATTTATGTGAGAACCGTTTTAAAATGTGTAAAATACAATAAGTTAAAAGTGAAGCTAGCGCTACTCAGTTAGCTCAATATACATGTACAAAGTCTGCTAGTATTAGCCTTAACTAGCTTCCAGAAATATGAGCCGTTTTCTACACAATAATCACAAATTGCATGAAGTGAGTCATTAGTTGAGTCTCCATTCAATAACTTCTTCAACTCCTAAAGGTAACCAGCATCAAATTACAATTTACTGACCTGTGATATAGAAAAGATGAGACACAGACGTTGAGTTTCCATTAGCATCTAACAGGAAGGTTTATTCTTCTTCTCTGTGCCCAACTTTCTCTATGCTAACGGTGAACACGCGCCCCCTAGCGGTTGTAAGCGGAATCACATTAAATTATAACTTATTACAATGAGAAATTAAGAATAGAAAAAGAAAATTAATGTTGGGGTGTCTATTTTTATATTTAGTGTTTTAATTTACATATAGCTTTTTTTAAACCCCTATATACTAGCATAAGCTAACCTAAAAACACCACATTTTAGATTAGCACTAATCCAAACAATTTTGTTTCTATCTCCATCTAAGAGATCTGCTTTAACTTGGTTTTTGCATAGTCTCTCTGAATCATTTAGAGTTTTATTCTCTTGTGGGTTCTTCACTTAAACCAAGTTTTCTATAAGTTTTTGGTCCAGAGACTGAGATGACCCCAGAATAAGGTAGATTTTGTCCAGTAAACCATTTCTCTGTGGATTCAGCCATATATTTTGGGTCAAACCCACAGCATCACAGATCCTCCACCATACTTAATAGTAGAGATAAAATGCTCATTAACATATTCATTGTTTGTTCAATGCCAGATCCGCCCTGAGTGTGTAGAAGTTGAAAAGCTCAGTCTTTGTCTCATCAGACTCTACAGGTTTATGTTTGTTGTGATAGGACAGAAATTTTTTTAAAAAAAGGTTTTCACAGTAGATCAGACAGGAATGAAAGAAATAAGGTGGAAGACAGACATGCAGAAAAAATCTCAGAATTGGGAATCAAACTGCAGACGGAACAATTGAGTTTTATAGAAGGTTAGAAAATTTAGCAGCATAGATATTTTTCAGTAGCCAAATCAGTCTATGTGAGCAGGAAACCTGTTTTGACACCATTCTCATGTTAATACAGATAATCTGTGTCATGCCATATTTGTAACCCAGGGAAGCAAAAATCTGGGATTAATCATTTAAATATTCTAGACTGAGCATCGTAAAACTATAAAATTAAACAAAACAATGGGTTTGGTTTGCAGAGGTCACGTCTATTTTTATATGAGCAAAGTGCAGCAGTGCCAGCTGCTGCTAACTTCTCCTTAATGTTGATTTTGAGGGAGAGTTTTGAGAATATTAGCAGGTTTGCTATTTATACAAGTAAGTAATCACAGTGTCAAGGTAATTCATGTAATCAAGATATGTCAAATATTATTTTTTAACAGCAGTGTAGCTATGCATAAAAATATGTAAAATTAATAAAACAGAAATACATTTTAAATAAATCAATTTCAAGGGCTCTCTAGTCTAACATGTTTCCAAAGAGTTTAATTTCTATTTTCAATACTTTACCTCTAATTATTCATTTTCTTATCTGTGTCATTTTTAATGCATTGCTTATCACAAGATTAAAAACTGCCATCAGTTTTGGGAAAACACCTTTCCTCGCCTTTAAATAGGTCTCACCACAACGGAAATGTTCTTTTCAAAATCCAGGGTTTTGAACGTTGTACTGTTTCCATAACCCACAAAAAGACCCGACAGAAACCTCCCACTCACATAAAAAACATTTTACACTGAAACAGTGCTCAGAGATATAATTGTTAAATTTGACCAAAAGTGCTGTGACCAAACAAAAACTAAACATTGTTTGCATGAGAAAATTTCAGAGACATTGTAGCCTAAAAGTGCAGAAGAAGTTTAAGACTTCTCACTCTCAGTGCTGCTATCTCGAGTTTCTACTTAGGAATCAACTCTTTGTCCAACTAAATGTCTCCACCTAGAGTAAATAGAAAGCTTCTTAAAAACAAACCTTATCTAGGTAAAAGTCCTAGTTTTGCCAAAGATTAGCACCTTAACTGATGCGTTCAGTTGTCTCTTCTCCCCTCGGAGTCACAAATGAGTCTCTGTGTGGGCGCTTTGTTGGGCTAATGCATCTTATTCTGCTCCTTTCACTTTTCTTTCCTTCTCATTATCTTACTCCCCTGTGGGTGTCCTCTTCTTTGGCCTCTGGGGACTGTTGAATGCCGCTGAAATGTGTGGAGAAAACAGTAACAGCCTGTGGGTGAAAGGAGTGGATTACAGTCTTGACTTTACAGGAGTGAACACCACTGGCAGCATAAGACACTCCTGTGACTTGGGTGGATTTGCTTTTAAACGACTGCAAGATGCATATGTTAAATAAGATACTGCTCAAATATTCACAGTAAACTAATTGTGATTAATAATTAGAACAAGCAAAAATCTTAATTAATTGCAGTTTATTAATAGTTTTCTTTAAACAGTTGATGCAACTACTTGACTAAAATCCAAGTTCATCCTGATTGAATTTAAATCTTTGATGCATGAACTAAGTTCTACTGTAAAGTAATATAAACAGATGTTTCCAGCAAACACACCGTGAACTCTAAATAGAAAAAAAAATATGATGAGACTGATGACAAGCTAAGCAAATTGTAATCATAGAACCAAAGGTTTTACCCTGGCAAGTGTTTCATGCTGTGTTTTGGAAATGCTCTCAACACTTTTGATCATTTTAATTATATTTTTCTTACTTAATGTCTCTTAATGTTTAAGTTTTTCAAGAATAGCACACCATGTTGCTTCTTCGCCTGGTTTAATTTACTCTAGTGGCAGCATGAGAGCAGCAGCTCTTACGTTTTACATAAAAGCACATTTAAACCACTGCTGCAGAATTTACACAACTACTAACTTCATACAGCATCAATTCATAATAAATGTTATTTGCTTTTTACAGCTATTTATATATTACAGCAATGGCTGCGCTAATAGCGACTTGCTCACCTCAGGATGCTGGATGCTTAAAACTGAAAATGAAACTGATGGCATTATATTTTCTGTGTAATTCAGCAATAAAGTGACCACTTGGTGGCACTCAGAGCACTGCAGTGTCATTCATGGTCAATTTACCCTTAAATATGGAACATGACATTACAGCATCATTCCCTGGTGGGCTAATTCACCCCCAACATTTCCGTCCTACACATGTGTTGCTCTAAAAACTAGAGATTTACTGTCTGTGACATGAAGCTCAATTTAAGAGGGAAAGTGTGGTTTTACTAAGAAAATGTGCAAGAGAAAGGAAGACAGATGGAGGATGAGGATAGCAGAAGAAACACTGTTTTTACTTGTGATGAAATAGCAAAATGTGAGTTCCATATCCAAATTAAGTTATGACCTTGTTGATACTGAATCACACAGAGATAGAAACTGCATAAAAATCAAACTGCTTTTATAATACTTGGTATATTTAATTTATTCTAAGGTAGCATATATAGGGTGTGTTTATGTTAATGACTGCAGACAGCTCATATAAGTAGGCTTATGTTATGCAATAAATGAAAAACGTTATATTTACAAAGTTACAAACATGTTTCTGCTAGATTATCAAGCTGTTTTGTCAACTCAGGAGGAAATATGTTGGTGAAAAGTTAATTAGTAGTACAATTAAATAAAACAATAAAATTATTTTAAAAAGACAGGAATAAAACAGCAACTAACTGTTGCTGCACCTGTCTCATTCGTCCCTCATTCATCTATTTATCTCGACTCTTCTGGCCTTCCATATTTCCGCCAGCTAGCTGTGCACTGTAGCATCAAAAGTTCACAGAAAACCTCAGAAAGGGTGTTCATGGCACCAAACTAAACGGAAATGAGTCACCAATGATAAGAAGGCCTAGTTATAACAATCTAGGTCTTTGATGACAGTGAAAGATAAAAAACAAGACTTCTACAAATGAAGCAGTTTTTTGAGCTCCAGATATCTGATGTTACTTTCTTTTGTTTTAAACCTCTCTGCAGCTGTAAATCTTTATCCTCCTTAGCACATTCAGCTTTTACTACATCTACCAATCATTCACTGAGCGACATTCAGAATATAAATATTATCTCCACCTTCCCATCTGTAGATTCTTCTATCATGCACTGCTTTATTAAATAAAAGTCACAAATTGCAAATCAAACTATTGAGCAGTTAGTACATCCATCAGTTATCTATAGGACAAACCGGGAGACTTACATTAATAAAGACAGTGATACATGATGTCAGCGTCAGTAGATAAATGACTGCAGCCAATATTTAAACATTTTGACAGTTTTATAGTTGTCCATTTATATCTTCAAAATTACTTTAACTTGTGAAGGTCTCATGTAGTCGATAAGATACTTTCTTGGCTTTCTTTGAACTTCCACTAGTGAAGCAGAAGGTGGCAAAGTATAAAGCAAAACACTTGAGTCTGATGAAGAAATGATCTGCAAAGCACACGCCATGCAACAGCCACACCCATGCAAGAGAAAGGCTTTTGAACTGTTCACTGATTTTCATGCAAAACTAGGTGAAATATTCTGCAGCTATGATTAAAATGTTTCCTGTTAAGCATTGTAGCTGTGTCCCCATGCATGGTTTTCTGTTTAATTTTACTTTTCACTTTTTTCATTTCCTCTGAAGAGCGTATTCAGAGGGTTTATGGAAAACTTTATGTAAAAGTAATGGATTTTCATAGTTTTAACATGCTAGTAGAAATAAAACTCTTAAAAATGCAAACTCCAGGTCTCCTCTTCTGCAGACATTGTAGAATTTAGTCTCGACATTATACATCTGTTTTTCTGCTTGTTTATCTCGACTGTGTGGTTTGGGTTTGCTAATATGTTTGTGGTCGTCAACAGAAGCACACAATTTGCCTATTGAGAAAATGTCTCACTGTCATTAATCTTATATATTAACACTGAGGATGAATTTACTTTTCAAACTTGTAGAGAGTTCATCCTATTACATTTGCATTTGCAGAGAATGAGTACATGCTAAAATTTTACAATGTTTGCAGAACGAGATCTTCTTCCTGTGATGGTATCATTTGATCGTGGCTACAGATATCAAATTCAGAAGAAAAACTGTTTTTTCCCATGACAGCTTTACACCTCAAAAATTTCCAAATCTAACTTTTTGCTTGAATATAAATGTGGTTTTCCCAGACTTTAAAACAAAATAAAATCAAAGCAACAACACAAAATGTAATTTAAATAATGTGTTCTGGTAAGTTTAGATATTTCTATGTATGTAACAGATATATTTAATTTTGAGGAAGAATTTCTCTGCTGGGAAGTGATGTGCAGTTAAACGTTTGTGGTTTCCACTGAACTTTAACAGTAAACCAGTACTTTTGTGTCTACTCATGTGTCATAGTTCTGCTGGTGTCATTAAAGTTTGTTATAGAGATGAAATAGATCGTGAATCAATCTAGGGAAGTTAGACTTCAACTTCATTTTTCCCTGTTTGTTTTTCACAGATGACTTCTGCTACCCCACCCTGCTCTCGCAGCTCTTCCCCTCAAAAGGTTTGCCACTCTCAGACCCAAACCGATGTTCTGAAGCCATTGCTGGGCGGCGGCGCTTCTGTTGGAGGCGGGACTGTGCGGAAGAGGAGACGCATCCTGTCCAAAGATGGCCGAAGCAACATGCGCATCGAGCACGTCAGTGGGAGGAATGCTCTCTATATGCGTGACCTCTGGACAACTTTTCTTGAAATGCCTTGGCGCTACAAGTTCTTCCTGTTTACAGCAACGTTTGCGGGGACCTGGTTTCTGTTTGGGGTTGTGTGGTACCTCGTGGCTTTGGTGCATGGAGACCTGCTGGGTGAGAGAGCAGAGGTTTTATAAAAAAAAAAGTACCTTTACAGTTTAACACCCCCCTCAGATCACCCATGCACCACAGAGTTTCCATATCTATTCCATCTGAGGGCAGGATTTTGCTAAGAAGTAACATCAGGGTTTATCCCGCAGTATCAGGCTACATTTCAGACATTTCTGTGAAGATTTCCTGCCTTTTTTTTATGAACAAGCACAGTTTAAGTTGTGAATAAAGTCAAATTCTTCAGTTAAACTTTGATTCAGTACTCTAGAAACTTTCAGCTCAGTTAGGGTGTCATTACGAGTTTCATAATGAGTCAACTAGAAAATGCAACTGAAGAAATTTTTTTTTTTTTATCAAAACAAGACCTGAAGCTTCTGAACAGACAAATGCAAGCATCTTAAAGAGACAAAGACTATATCTATCTTTCTATCTATATGCATATCAAAGTTAAAAAGTACTTTTTTTCAATTAGTGAAAAAGTAAGCTAACTGAAAAGGTTTACATATATGTATTTATATATAGATGTTTATATATGTAAGATTATACATTTTATGATGAAGACATTCCTTAGTTATTGTTAATCATAAAACATATATTATAGTTCCAGTTCTCACAAAAGTATGCAGGGCCGTAGGACGTTTTTACATCTGGGGAATGTAGAATCTTATTTTACTCCTAACAGATTTAAGGTGAGGTGTTTATTTATCTAATTAAAATAAAAGAATATCAGCCAAGAAAATTCAGATTTAACACACAAATGTAAAATTAAATGTTTATTTGCATGCTGCTGAGTGGAACAGGTATTTAGTCTCACAGCTACAACAAGCTTTTTGGCAGTCAGAGCTGGAAGATCTTCCCTGTAATCAGTCTTCAGACTTGGAGTACCTCTCAGTTGGAGTCTTGGCCCACTCCCCCTTTAGCTGTCATTGTTGCCTCCCTTCACTGATTGGGTCTGAAGTTCAGATTGCCTTAGCCACTTCATGACCTCAATTTGCTTTGTGGTTTTGCTGATATGTTCTTAGTTGAGCTGGGAACCCCATATGTGACACATTTTCACTGTTTTGCCTTGGGGTAGAAGGTTTTCATGCAAAATTTTTAGGGTACGCCGCCCCCAACATTTGAAGTTGCTTTGTACTCTTAGCAGCTAAAACAGGCCTAAAACATAAAATAGATGATAATCTTTGCTTTAGATTTTACATTCACACTACTTTTGGTTTGTATTAAACCAGTTAGTTAGCTAAGTATTGAAGCAGGTAGAACTGAAAAGAATAAAATCTCATTATATGAGTGATTTTGTGCAAAAAATGTAATGGACATGTTTAGATAGCACATAGATCTATCCTAACCTGTTCAAGGAAGCATAATAGGCCACCTTTAAGAATGTAAGAAGGCGAGGTTTTGCTGAGTTAAGACCAGAGCTGCACATATCTATGAATAAATACGAGAGAGGAAGGGTGTGGTGAAGAGAAAGAATAAAACTGCCTCGTCTGAAGCGGTTGTCATCAGAGAGAGGGGAACTGAATCTTAGGTTCAAATATTTGAACCTATCTTTTTCAGTGAACTATAAAGTAATTTTGACCTATGATCTAAACACTTTTGACCTATGATCTAAAATCCCCTCACTGCCCCAAAGTCATTTTAATATAATAGTTCACTAAACAGGAACATGGTTATAGCTTGCAGAAAATTCCCATGAAATTTATGCACCAATGATTTCATTTTTTTATTTTTATGGGAAAAGGTGATTGTACTTCAGAGAAACAATAACTCACCACCCTGATTCAGATCTCTTAAAACCTCCCTTAAATCATGACTAATGGAGAATCAGGTGCTGAAGTTGTAACCTACCATACAGCTTTGACTCAAAGGCCTTTTGACACAAATACACTAAAATTTGACACTAAAACCGTCCTTGATGGTTTCAGTGTCAGAGTTATTTTTTCCTGTTTAAACCTCACTTGTTTTGCAACAGTCTCTTTGCAGCTCAGCAAAATGAGTGACAAAATAAGGTGAGCAAAACTGAGAGCATTGTTGCAGGACTATAGAGGTGGGAAAATTCAAATAAAAAGTGAGATAGTAAAAAACTGTGTTAAGTAAGAGCGGATGTTGCTACGCTGTGAAGCAAAGACGAAGATCTGTAGAGTTTGAATGGTGTGAACTGATAGTCTGATCCGTTTCTGCTTTTTTCACCTTCTGTTTGTGCAACAGAATCAACATGATGCACTTTTTTATCTAAAGCCGGAAAATAGATAAACTGTTAACATGATAAAATCATTAGACATGAAAACATGGGTGCACTGCAAAAACAGAAAATCTTACAAAGTGTTTTTGGTCCAGTTTCTAATGCAAATAACTTAGTACATTTGAACCTTACTAAAGAGTAACTTTTTAGCAAGATATGGAGGCTTGTTTTCAGTAAATAATTATTTAATATTGATGAAAAAGTGCATGTTCCCTTGGCAGATTATTTCATTTATAGTAAGACATCTTTCTCAGGTTATAAGTTAATTTATCTGCCAATAGAACTAGTACTTCTTCATCAGTATTAAGGATTTATTTACTTAAAATAAGCCTCTATAAGTAGCTAAAAAGTTACTGTTAAGACAGCTTGTCTTATTTCAATTGTCCTGAGATATTTGCACTGCAAGCCAGATCAGAATTACTTGGTAAGATTTTGTGTTTTTGCAGTGTGAAGAGTGCTCTACTTTGCAGCCCTTCATACATGCACATAAAGACGTTTTGACAGTTACAAAGAAGTGAAGCTTCTGGTTTTATTTCCTGTAAAACCAAAAAACACACGAGTGCAATACAAATACGTTATCCTCACAAAATAATAAAGAAAAGCACACCTCCTCCTCCTCTTCTGATGACTCATGTTTCCACTGTTTGGCATTACAAGAGTCCACCAGATAATGTAGGCATTAAACAAAGAAACGTCTGCTGCTTTACCACAGCCTTGATGAGCTGTCGTTTTCTTTCCAGAGTTCGATCCGCCATCCAACCACATGCCCTGTGTGATGCAGATGCAGACCCTCACAGCAGCCTTCCTCTTCTCTCTGGAGTCCCAGACAACCATCGGTTATGGTTTCCGATGCATCACAGAGGAATGCCCGGCTGCCATCATCCTCCTCATCCTGCAGCTGGTCATCACCATGCTCCTGGAAATCTTCATCACCGGCAGCTTCCTGGCCAAGGTCATTAACTGAATAGAGAAATGTGGGATGACAAGGTGTCCAATCCAATGATCCAAACAGTTGGGATGCACAGGCCAAAAGTATTCATACCCCTTGTAGTTTTCCACTTTTTGTCGACTCTTGGCCCAATCGCGAATCTTTTCTGCACTTTGCTCCATTTGATTAAGTTTGACCAGCTTCAATGTCCCTGATAAAGAAAAGTTGTCCCATAGAATAACATTGCCACCATTCAATGGAACAAATGAATGCGTATTGTTCATTTTTGCCACTATTGGGCCACATATATGAACTTTAAGTTCAAATTAAAGTTTATTTTTTAATAATGGGACAATATGCATTAATGAAAATTTTCATGTAAATGCATACAATTATAGACAAGAGGTGAATTTCTATTGAGATGTGGATGTATTAAGAAAGGCATAAAACAACTTTAAAATCTTTACAAATTTGCATGTAATCAACACTGATATTTTTGACTTTCCAAGAGTTTTTAAGATGTTTTTTTAAATGAGATTAGAAATGAAATGTCCCTTATGTCACTCTGCATCATATTCCAAGTGTGAGAAGCTCGATAGAAAAAAGTAGCTTGACTCTGCAGTTTTCCTTTGGTCTCATCTGACCAGAGCTGTTTGCAGTTCGAAAACATGTATAATTTTTACTTCATGTAAACTCTGTAAACTCTCCTGGTAATAAGAAAAGGTTCCAGGAGTGTAAATATGTTTGCAAGACACTGAATCCTGATTTGTCTAAGAGGAAGACAATTAACTGAAAATACCTGAGAAAAATAAAAACTGAGCTTTTCCCGGTCAGATTGCACGGCCAAAGAAACGAAGTGAGACGGTGAAGTTTAGCCAGCATGCTGTTGTATCGACCTATGAAGGCCAACCCTGCCTGATGATCCGGGTGGCCAACATGCGCAAGAGTCTTCTTCTCGGATGCCAGGTCGGTGCACATGCAACTCTCAGACAAACAGGAACAAAATGAGTCAAAGACTAATATTTCGTTGACTCACTGTTGGATTTGTGGATTTTTAACAAATATTTCCATGCAGAGTTGAATTCTTTTGCTGTGCAATTCTTCAAAATGAGAATGAGTCAAACCAAAACAAGCAGTGTGTGCCATTTCATTTAGGTGACAGGGAAACTCCTGCAGACGTCCCTGACAAAGGAAGGTGAAACAGTTCGTATGGACCAGAGGAACGTGCCCTTCCAGGTGGACACTTCCAGCGAAAGCCCCTTCCTCATCCTTCCCCTCATCTTCTACCACATCATCGACGACACCAGCCCCCTGAGAGCCTGGGCCGCCAAGGGTGAGCTTGGTCAAAAAAAAAATACTTTGTTGGTATTACCACATGTTGAGGGTGTTTTGTTACGTCTCGAGGCTTTTGAGGGCTGTGCTCTTAAGAAACCCTGTTGCTTAGGCAACAAAACCATTTTTCCATTAGCTGTTAAGAAATGAGAACTGAAAGGAACATTGCTACGCTCTCAAAAGCTACATTCACAGCAGAAGTAGACCAAAATTTTAATAGGGCTCCTTGGTCAAGAGTGTGACACTTAAAGTGTCTGCACAGCATAACATTAAGTTTAAGCTACAGCGTTATTGTTTCATTTCTGAAACATTTGCAATATTGAAGTAGCAGTGAATGAATGTTCACCAGCCTTCACATACTGAAGAAAACAACTATAAATATGTGATTGCCAAGAACAGAAGAAAAGTTGCCAGTTTTGTAAATTTATTGGTAACCTTGATCTCTAATTCAGTTTTAAACCCCAATAGATGGATTCACCCTTCATTCCTGTACTCTGATCAGGAACTTTGTCCCGACGTTCTTTTCCTCTAAGCCTACACCTGCCTTATGCCTGTTTAACACAATGCTCTGCAAATTTAGTTTTTGTGCAGTGATGGTTTGAGTTTGATTAATGGGTGACACATGACTAAATGATTGTATTTACTACCAGATGCAAGCGTTCAAAAGGAAGAAGTTGGGCAATGAACTTGCAAAAGGGAAGATAAAAATAATCTTTTTTTGGTGGTTAGTGGACTGTTGAAGTGCATCAGCCTTGACTTCCTCTGTTAGTGTGTTTTATATATAAACTTCATCTCACTCTTCACTTCTTTAATGCGCAACACATTTTTGTAGAAGATCTTTCCATTTATGGGAAAAGAATTTAGAGGAGATCTATTGATACGTTTTACATGTTGGATGTTCCTAGATTTACTTCAACTCCCATTTTTATTTGCTTTCTTATTCATGCATTTCTGAACTGGCTGAATCCTTGCAGGGTTTGTAGAGCCAGAAGTCATCTCTGGTTGTCAGTCCTTCACAGGATAAAGCAAAAGCAAACAATCATGCATGCACAAACTCAGACCTAATGACAGTTTAGGATGGGCCATGAACCTTGCATTAAAGTTTAATATTCATTGGTCACAATAGAAACATGTTTTCCTGTATGATGAAAAGCTTCTTTTGCTGCCTGCAAAAGTGACACTTAAAAGGTAAAAATATACAAATATAAGTATAAATTTCTTTGGACTCTGAGAGGAAGTTGGAGAAAATCCATAGCACCCTAAGATCAGTGTTGATTCCTTCTTGTCTCTTTACCAGTTTCTCCTCATCCTTTTTAGCTAACCTGCTAATGTTCCTTTATCAGGTGGTGGATGGACAGATCCAGTGTTGGCTGACTTTGAACTCTTGGTGATCATGAGTGCCACAATAGAGCCGACCTCCGCCACTTGCCAGGTCCGCACCTCCTACCTGCCAGACGAGATCCTCTGGGGTTACGAGTTCCCCCCCGTCGTCTCTCTCTCCCAGTCTGGCAAATACGTAGCGGACTTTTCCTTCTTTGACAAAGTGGCGAAGACCAAGACGACCCCCATCTTCAAATCGTCCAGTTCGCAACACGAGTACCAGAGCAACGGAGGCGGACCCGTGTCTGAGGTGACAGACCCGGAGAAGATTCGTCTGGAGCAGAGCTACAGGGAGCAGCGAGGCGAAGACCGAGGCCGAGTCAGAGACGGCCCCGTAAGCGTTCGCATCAGCAACGTCTGAGCAGCTAAACTGGCTGAAAGTCAAACATTTTGTAGCAAAACAACATGAGAGTTTGTGAAGCCTTTCACACATGTAAGACAAAGATTGTTTTATTTTTTATTTTTATCAAAATGACTTAAAGCAAATACGTATGGTACTGCGTTTTGTAAGGAAATATTTGCTAAAACTGCTGTTGTTCATTCTCATCTTGTCACTTATGATGGAAAATCTAAAAAAATCTATGCTAAATCTATGCTAAAAGAGTCAAAAAAGGAAGAAATTAAGTGTAAGTCGAATATATTTCATCTCAGATTAGACTGTCTGATGTGAAATCTATAAAGTTCTACCTTCATACTTTTTGCCATTGTCTCACCATCACATTTTTCCTTGCATACTTTGTGATGATCTGACCATCCAGGGCTGAATGCTCAGAGCTCCATATCATGTCTATAGGTGCCTCCAATTTGCTTAAATTGTTTTCATCTTATTTATTCAGAAAATGTCTCCCTCCTCCCTACCATGTCAGTCACTCCAAACATTCACTCACACTGTGAATCTTTATCAAAGCAGACAGAGTGTCTGCATGGCATAGCGTGAGATTAAGTCATAACATCACCTCAATGTTGGAACCTTTGAAACTGCAACTTTTTTAACACATAATGTTTGTATAAAAAAAGCTTTTTGAAGCTTTTTCCACCTTTTTTGTGACAATTTTCTATGTGATCCTACTAAGAACTTGAGAGAATTTAAAAAATCTGCAACAACCTTGAGGCATAAGTGTGCTCAACCTTAAACTCTTTGTTGAATCTCTTCTTGATTCGTTTCTAGCATTCAGTTTTCTTTGATATGAGTTTAATATCATCCAACTTTTTGTCCTGGAAACATTCCCAGGCCCTCTGTGCTCACAGTCTCACAATTTATAAAATCGAGTAGAACCTGATTTTTCACACCGTGCAAAACTGTGAAGCTGGTCTTTTACTGATTTATTTGGATGGTGAAAAATAAAATTCTTCTTCATCTTCAGTTTTCTGTTATAATCCATAGATCTTTGGACTTTTAGTTTTATGTTTCTGTTGCTTCTTTCTTTACTTCTATTCTCCTTCTTGCCATCTTAGTTTATCCCTTGTGTCAGATCAGCTGTTTTATTGTTTCTGTTTTGGATTTTGTCATGTTTCTCTCTGTCATCTGAAGGTTTTGGGTGAAATGTAACTAGCATGAGGAAATGTTCATGTCTTTAACTGCAGTCTAGTCTCATATCATCTGTGGGAAAAGTAACTCTAGAGAATGATTCGGTCACCATGTTTCGCTTTGGTTGGTGTTCATTTGCTGATCTGTGGTGTTTTTGTGCCAAACTTTCCATCTGTAACTGTGGCTAAAAGTTCCAGTTTGTTTCCATCAGACCACAACGGGCTTTTAGCCAGAACTTTTCTTTTGAAGGAAATGCTTTTATCATGCAGTTCTACCCAGGAATATGAGAAGTCCCTGACGTTGCCGTCACATGTAGACCATAATACTTCTGTGTTCTTGTTTTTGTAGCATGACTGTCGTTACGGTGGCATGACACATCTATTATCTACAATCCTCCTGACAAATGCTTATGAGTTTTTGCTTAACTATTTTTGTTTATCCAAGAAGACTGATTGTTTAAAAAAGTGCCTAAAGGTTTTCATTAAGGTTATGCACATGTCAGCAACTTTTTTATTTTTTCTATTTTCCTTTTTCAGTAGTGTAAGGTTATGTTACCTCCAAGGGGGAAAGGATTTATCCTGGCCAAATTTTTATATGTCACAAAAATCTGGTATTTCGCTAGGGGTCAGAAGACGTTTCTAGACATCTCTGAAAGCAAATGAAGCACAAAGTTTGCATACATGTGAAGTGTGACATAGCTGTTAGACAATTCATGAAAACAACTGTTTTGTGAATGTAGACAACAAAAGCTGATTTACGTAAACACTCATTTATCTGAGGTACAATGGTGGAAAAGCTGAAAGGTCAGAAACTTATTCTGGTCTCTTTAGGTACTTCCCAGAGCACTGAAGCGTCACCTTGTGAGAGACTTACTCACTCAAAAGCGAGACAAACTGAATGTGTATTTTTAAAAATGTGAAAAACAGAAGTAAGGAAGTAAACACAAAATACCCCCAATTTCAAAGAAAAACATTTTTCCCTCCTCTGTTCAAGTGAATGTGTTGCAATTTTCTGCACTTTAAAAGTGCTTTACTAATCCCAAAGGGGAAATTGCTTAAGATGCACACAGCTACGGTTTGTTGAGCAGAAAGTCATATGACTTTAAGTGTTTTCTTCTTACATGGTAAGAAAAAATAGCACCAAGCTCAAAAGTCTCACCCTCAACTTCCTCCCGAAAATCAGATTATTTTCAAATTTCCTGTTGCAAAGTTTGCAGTGGAAACTATTTAGAAATGTTGTATCTCAACTTTAGAGTTTCTCATTGTGCATTTTAGTGCTGAATGTAATTTTTTTGTTAAACTACAATATGACATCTGTTTCTGTATCAAATGAACATTGTAGCACTTTATTGAAGTAAATAATGATTATTTGCACCTTCAGTAGATTAGTTGACAATTTGTCAAACCTTACCATTTGTAAAATATTCCACTGAAAGCACTCTGAATTTATATAGACCAGCTTCTTTACAGCTGCTGTAAATTTAAAAAGATAGTCAGAAACCTGCTGTTCCTTTGTCTGTGACATGCAAATGAACAAACTCCAGTGGATGTAAATACTCATGTAGAGATGTTGTATCTGTGCCTTTAACAGTGAAGTAAGTCTGATTGTTGTAAGCGCTGGGTGCAATCACTGCATAAAGAATTATTGGAGTTTCTAATTCTGTGAAATAAAATCAAAAGCATCTTATCAAAGCTCCTTCTACACATATAAATGTGAAAGTATCTGAACAATAACGGCTGAGATATAAGAATGTAAAGATAAGAATGCCATGTAAAGAAAAGGTGGTTGTGACTGATATGAGAAATAAGGTGTGGTGTGTCTTCTTTTAGTTCTTTGAATTGTATATTTCAAATGAGGTCATTCTTTAACAACTGGTCTAATAAAGCTTATTGTGAAATATTACATTTGGCTTGTGTCTTTTGTTCTAATTTGATAAAAACTGAATTCCCAAATAGTTTCAATTTAATCCAAAACCTAATGACATTGTAAAAAACAGATAATAATGAGCATAAGGATAAAAAAAGAGTAAATATCTAAAACTGTGATGCGTTTCTGATGAGTATAAGTGAAGTATAAGTGATAAAATCATCATCCAGTTCTGTATTTTATAGTAGCAATTCACTAAAATGTCATAATTCTGTTGGTTTTCAAATTGTGCTGACTTTATCAGATCGCATCAAGTCATTAACTTGTAGGGTTCATTCTTCCTGGATGAGAATGTAGTGAAAGTGGATAATCGCTGGTATTGCGTTGTTGACTTTGCAGCAATCCCTCATATGGCGGAGCAAGCATGCAGCGGCAGTAGAGAGGAAAAACTCTCCTTTATCAGGAAGAAACATCCAGCTGCTTCTACAGAGAGAAAAACAGATAACTTAAAGTTAAAAGTTTAAATAAAAGTAAATAATGCAAAATTAGAGAGTGGTAGGAAAATGTAGCAGAGTGAGAAAATGTGGTCAGCAGGCTAAGACTTTAGTAGTATAACTATAGAGATAACTCAGGAAAACATAAGTAAGATTAACTAAAAGTTTTAACAAAATGTAAAGTTTTAAATCTACTCTTAAAAGTAGATATTATGTCTACTTCACAGACTAAGAGTGGAGGAGAAAAGCCAAAACAGTCAATTATGAACATGAACAACCACAGCTTTTTGGAAAACGGAGTTCAGATTAAAACAATTGATCTGCCCAAATTTTTATTTTGTAATTTTGAAGTCTTTTATTTAGAAAATTCCAGAATTTGCACATAATTTATATTTTTGTTTATCTGATAATTTTAAATATTAGATCGGATGTTGTTACTCAGTTCTTGAGTAGCCCTTTTAAGAAAATGACTTGTTGACTCCTTTGTGGCTACTCCACCCACCTTGGACAGTCAACACCCAAAGCTGATCACTGCCAAACTTACAGAATCAAAATATCTCTTGAGTAAAACCTGCAAGGCAACATGTAGCGAACTAAAACATCTCAAACGGCAGCAAGTTATGGCCAGATCAAAAGAAGTTCAAGAACAGATTGGAAGCATTAGCATCATGTGCAAAATATTTCTATTATTAACCCGCAAACACAAGCCATCACTGAGTCACATAGAACTCTGTTTTTTTAGGAGTGATGCCTGAAAGTTCAGCAAGACAACAGGAAGTGTGGTGTTGCAATAATGCAACACCACACTTCAGACATAAACTTATGTCTGAAACTTCTGACATAGTTAAAATCTGTCTGAAGTTTCCCAAAGTTCTTTTCAAACAATATCGGTGGATGAACTCAGTGACGCTGTTGTTGGCTGAGCAAGAAAACTGAAGTTAAATTGGATATCTGATCTTCTCATCCTTCTAGTTGGAAATTATGTCTTAAGATTTAAAATCCTGTCCCTGGCTGTTTGCAGAAATAACCAGAATGAAATGTTTTGTAGCTGCTTTGCTGCTTCTCTACCTGGACAACTTGAACCATTAATTCTGCTCTAAAGGGGAAAAGTCCAGCCATCAATATGACCTAAACTGTTGGGTTGTGCAGCAGGATAATTATCCAAAGAACACCAGCAAGTCCATCTCTGAATGACTAAAAAAAAGAAAATAAATAAATTAAATGAATAAAAAAAATAAAATGAAGGTAGTTCAGATCTGGATCCAATTGTGATCCTGTAGTACAACTTCAGTTTATTCAACCCTAAAAATTCCTCTACAAGTAAAAGACACAAGATGTCTGTGTGGGTGGGGGGTATGAGAACATTTACTGGTTGTGTGAAATGTTATTTAACGTTCCGCCTGAATTCAGGAAACTGTGGCTCAGTGATAGATGTACTTCCTCAGAGTTGACACAAAGCGATGGCAGCGGTAGTTCTGCTTCTTCTCCTCCTTGCACTGGTGGATTCAATTGAAGGTAAAATTTATGTTATTTCTTACATAAAGTGTTTAACAGCTGCTGTAACATTCTAACATTTCACATGACAAAAATGTGGAGCTGTAGAAAAAAAAACGTTTATGAAAGAAAGTTCAGCTGTCAAAATGTGTTGTGAAAAATGTAGTAGAAGTTTTTCTGAAAAGTTCATTTCAGTAATATAACAAACATAAAAAAACAAAGTTAAATAAAGATAACATTTAAATAGGTGTGTTTTTTAATTATAGCTTTAGATTTTACATTTCTGCTGCCATCAGTCATAAATGTACGTCTGTGGTTCGCAACAGATGAATAAATGTGAAGTTAATACTGATAAAACATTGTTGTGAATGAAACACCCTTCATTTGTTTCAACTTAAAATTAAAGTAGATGTTAAATATAAATATTAACCACCGTGCTTCGGCTTGTCTGATAAGGCAGTAAATTATTTACGCTTTATAAAACTGTTGCTTCGACTGATTAGGGTTTGTTTTTGAAAATTACAAAACTCAGCACTGACAAGTAATTTTTAGGTGGCTCAAGTTCTGAGAAAACCTTTAAATGCTCTTTATGGATGTTTAATTTCTGTTTGGTTATTTTTGGCGGGCTTGTATTGAAGTCTAGTAGTTTTCTTTAGGACTGCAGGTTGATGCAGTAATAGCCTCATCTTGTCGCAACGCAAAGACCTTGAACGCTACTTTTTTCATGTTCTAACTGTGTTGGATTAGTTTATTTAGATTTATTATTGTCCTTTTGCAGTTTTCAAAATGCTTTAATAAGCATCCGTTTGTTCTCTCTGAGGTACAGGACAAGTACAACCAAAGTATAATTTTCTTAATTGTCTCTAAAATGCTAAGACACAGTGGAGAGACGGAGAAGAAGACAAGAAAACAAGAGGTGGTTGACGTGCTTGTTTATGGGTTTCACAGATTGGGATAAAAAAAAAAGCTTTTCTGTATATTTTTCGGAGTGTTTGAAAGCAGGACAGCAGGATTGGGCTGTGGATGATGTTTGTGACGCAGCTTTGACTGAGCCTCATAGATCAGGTTCAGATCAGTGAGCGGTTTCTTACTCTGCTCTTTGCTGCCTCACAGAGATTTCTTGATGTACTTTTGCCTTTTTTTGTGCAGCTTTGTGTTTTGTCCTGCTGTCTTGTCCAGAACAGACTTTTGATCTTAGTTTTTTCCCTGGGTAAATAATAAATAAATTAATTGATAATAGTGTGAAGCAGTACATGATCACACTTAGTTCTGTCATGGCTACTTTTGCATCATAATTAGCTGAATAAAGAGTGTCAGAGTGGTTTCTGAGGAGCAGGTTCTTAGCAGACTAATAATAAAAAGCTCTTGCGGAGAAGTTTCAGTTTTAAAAAAAGAATTCAGTTTAACAGAACAGAAACGTTCTCTGGGCTGACTTCATACAAATTCCAAATATAAACGTTATCTTGAGGTAGAAAAACTGTTTCACTTCTCACTCCTTCAATGGAAGCACTCAGTACTCATACTCCTTAAGCGTCTTCACAATTAATCATATTATAACAAAAAACAGTAGGCTAAGGAAAATAAGCAAAAGTGATATTTTACAAATAATATTAGAAAGGTGTGGTGTGCATTTGTATTCAACCACTTTTAATTTTATATAAATTTAGTGCAGCCCATTTACTTTAGATGTTTCTAAATTTGTAAAGCAGAGCAGTTGTTTCCTATTCAATCTCAGTTTAAATGCAGGTTTTCTACTAATTATTTGTAGGTTTGTTGGAAAACAGCAGTGAACAACATACTGAAGACCAAGGAACACAACAGGGATAAAGTTGTGGAGAAATTTAAAAAGGATTAAGTTATAAAACAATATGTCAAATTCAGAACATCTCTTGGAACAATGCTCAATACATAAATTGGAAATGGAAATAGTAGGTGGTACAACTGTAAACCTGCCAAGAAATGGGAGTCTAAACTGACAGGACTTTCAAATAAAGCAAAAATAAGAGAATCAGCCAACAGGAACATGATCACCCAGGAAGATGAATGAGGGAGATATCCAGACTGAAAAATAAAATCATGGAGAAGCAGAAATTTGAAAGCTATGAGAAAAGACAACTTAATGACTGCTGGTGAGGGACTTCAGCCATTTGATCCCAGTCTGTTGGATTAAGGACGCATCTAAAAGTTGCAGGTCGGTAGCTCTAAACCACTGGACTTGAGCAGCCCTGTGCTAGAAGCTCTGAAAGACCTGATACTGATGTCCAGGTTCACCTTCCAGCAGAAAAACACTAAACATACAGAGCTACAATTTACATATCAATGTTAAAATGACCCTGTCAAAGTACAGGCCAAATCCGGTTGGGAACTTTGGCAGAAGACTTGAAAGTTGATGTTCACAGACACTGGGGGAGAGGAAACTGACAACCAACAATAAAATCATTTTGAGACGGATCTGTTGGTTTGATCATTGAAAGGTTTTAGATTTGTAAAGATTTCTGTTGGGAAGGAAAATAAAGACTGGAAATGTAGTGATTTGTGATAACAGAAGATTATCATGCACTGACAAAAAAAAAAACTTATTCAATTAAGTCAATACTATCACTGGTTTCTCTTATGTTTATGTAGGCATATTATAAAATAAGGGACTATAGTGAAGCGATCAATTCACATATAATTATAGTCGGACACCATATTATCTATTCAATACATATGTAAATAATGAAATGGTTAGATGAATTATGTGTTGATTCTAATTGACCAAACTTGTAGAGCTCTATAGTAACTTACACTTTAAACCTCCTCTCTGCTCTGCTGCTGTGAAAGTTATGATGTTCCAGAGACTTATCATGATATTATTTTTTATTATTATCGAAACATAACCAAACTCTTGTCTTTCAGGCTCTGAACGTCAGTTTGTGAAATCTGGATCGAACCTCCTACTGGAAGTAAAGACAAATGAATTTGGCGAAGATTACATTTTTTTTTGGAAATTTAATAACAGTGATAATCTTGTAAGATTTATTCCTAGTAGTAATACTACAACCTTGTTTGTAGAAAGAATTGATTTCTTTCAACACAACTACTCTCTGCTATTGAGAAATGTGCAACACAAGAACACTGGAAACTATAAGGCAACAGCAAATGGAAAAACAGAAAAAACTGTAGCTGAATACACAGTTATAGTTCAAGGTAAGTTTTCTCTTATTTGCTTCCCGTTTCGAAATCATTTCTAAATGTTTTTATAGCATCCCATTTTAAAACCAATCAAATCTTGTTTTCCTTCAGATCCAGTGTCTCCAGTGAAACTAACAGTGACCTGCATTGATCCTAACTTCTATAACTTCACTGCAACGTGTATAACAGTGGATTCTCAAATTAATGGGACTTATCAATGTGACAACAAAACCTGCCATTTACTGAACCAAACACACCTGAAGGACTCATCTCTGAACGTCTATGTAAAGGAAAGCTCTATCTTCTGTAACCATAGCAACGAAGTGAGCTGGAAACAGGATGAAAAGCCTTTTCATTCTCTCTGTAAAAATCTACCAGGTAAGATTTAAGGAAAACACCCAGGTGCTTTTACATCGTAAAACATAAAGCAATTCATCATAAGTATGAGTAGACACACACATGCATGTATATAAACAAATATCTATTTTAAACCACTAAGAAACTTAATTAGGTTCATTTTCTTTCATTTGTGCATAACCCTAATACCTACCCAACCTTAACCTGGACTGGTATAGTAATGGTATTTATATCTAACAGGTAATCAGGAGTTTTCCCTAGTTTTATACTCCCTATTTTTAATTTCTTCTTATTTTACATTTTTGAAAACCCAGATGAAAGTGTAAAGACTTTTATTGGAAAAGCAAAGTTATTCAAAGTGCTGCTGTTCTGATCTATGGACACTTTCTCTTTAAATGGTGAATGGACTGAAATGATATAATTCTTTACTGGGCCTACTGACCATTCACTAAATGCACTTTTATGCAAATCTGCATTCACTGAGTATATTAAAATGTGTAGAAATATAAAACTAGTTTTATTTTGCTTTTTTAATGCTGCCTTTCAGTATAAAAATCCAAATATTAAAGTGTTATTGGATGGAGAAAATATAAATAGCCTATATAGTTTTTGTTTTTAGTAACTATATTTTATCTGGGCTGCCAGACAGACAGAATATTTGACATCCTAGCATTAAAGTTGTAAAATAGAAAGTGAACTTGACCAAAGCATTCCTGATGTTTCTTTTTCTTCTGTTTTCTGTCTTTCTACAGCTTCCAACACAGCCACCAAAGTTGGGATATCAGTTGGAGCATTAGTGGTGCTGTTAGTGGTATCTATAATCTTTGTGGTCATAAAGTGTAAGTACTTCTTAATTTTCTCTCACAATCAGATTATTGTCTGTAAGAGCATCAACCCAGAGAGAAGCACAAATTGATTCAACCCCTTGACAGATTTAGGTTTAAACTAATCTTTTAATTTGATCATGATGCTTCGTTCTGGCTGGAAGTTATATTTACTTTTTGAAGTGTTGGAGTCTCAACTTATATCTGTGGAACAAGTTAAAGATCATAGTGATGGCAAGGAGGCCTTTCAACTTCAAAGACTTGGAGCTCATCACCAGCAGAAAAACAAAAAGCAAAAAGCTGGTCTGAAGGAGGTTTTTATTGCCATTTTGTCAATAGAAATAACTATTTTTTTGAGAATGGTATAAATTATTTTGAGCTTGTCATTTTTACAACTTCCTGTTTGAATAAAAAAAATGTTTAAACTGAAATCTGCCACGGGGTATGAAAAATATTGGGCTATAACAATCACAATGTGTGTTTATTTAAAATGAATTATTCACATACACTATGTAATAACAATAATAATAGATTAATAGATTTTGCCTGCAAAATGGGATGAGTTTTTCTTTTCTTTAGCAATTTCTAAGCACATTTAGTTTGAAGACCAAATAAATTTGCTTTATGATTCTTGAACATCATTATGTTAGGTGTATACATTTTCAAATATATATGTCTAAGACTATTAGTTTGACTTTTACTTTTCTATTTGTGAAAGTAAAATCATCCTGTAAGTCTTTTTTTTACCAATTAAATAAGTGTTCCAGCCTGTAGTTTAGTGGGATTTGTCCAGTAAAGAGAAGAAAATCAGGAGAAATGTCTGAGAGCAGCAGCCTGGACACCTAACAGACTGGCACTCTACAGAGAGATTTAAAAACACTACATGGTTAGCCCAGTCCCTTTGTATTTTCCTCACAGTGGAGAATGAATTATTGTAAAAACAACAACAACAACAACAACAACAACTACAAACAAACAAACAAACCATTTAAATTCAAAACTATTCTGGCAGAATTTAGTTTGACATTGTGTTTTCTGCTTTTGTTCTGACCACCATCTATTCCCCTGACACAACAAAACAACAACAAAAACTTTTCTTACCTGGGAAACGTTGTCCCTCCAAGTTCTTTGTCTTGACTGTCTACCTGCTGCCTCCAGTAGAGCTGCCTGTCTTAGCCTTAGTGTGAACTCTGGTTTGGTTTCTGTCCTTCTGCCTTACGTTGGGCTGGGACTCTCCTTGAATATTTCATTTATTTTCATTATTCTGTGGGAAAACATTGTTAAACACTGGTGATGAAAAATCTACTTTCATTTATTTGGCTTTGTGAAGGCAAAAAGATGGCAAGTTAACATGTTTCTGTTTGCTGTAGTGACGATCAGTGTGTTTAGTTTTAGGTGGTACATCAACATCGATGAGGTAGTTTATTTTTGAGGCTTTGCACCAAAGCCTGTTTTTAAGAAACATCTGTTGTAAAATGACTTCAGTGCTTTGAAAAACAATTTGAAGGCCAGTTGTGATTTAATGTTTTTATTCTGTGATGATGTTGAATTTATAACAATTTTCCTTTCATTCATTGATTTTTAACTTTGGCAAAAAAGATAAAACCCCCAAATCAATAAAATTCTGTTGCAATCTCCAATTTAACACTTAAATTACTTTGTTTATTACGTGATGTTAGTTTGTTTAGAGCATCACTTTAAAATAAAATTGTGATTTTAATCACTTCAAACTACACAACTTTATTCTTTATGACTGACCTGCAGGTAAAAGAAAGAGGAGCGCAAATACAGTGTATGAAGTTCCTCAGGTAAGCAGAAAAGAAAAACTCTCCCTATTTGCTTGTCAAAATAATCAAGACGTTTACAAAATAACTCTCTCTTGAGATAAAAATAATCTAAGTTTAAAAGGAGCAGAAAAACACATTTTTAGCAGAAACAGTTTGCAGCAAATTCAACATTACTCTGATCTTTGTGTTCACATTTTAGTGAGAGCTTCCCCAAAATGCCACCCAGAGAATGTTGATATAAAGATGTTTTTTTTTTTTCTTTATCTGTCTTTATAGGAACCTCCACAGAATAACCCATATGCAAATCCTACAGAAATTACTGAAACTCCTTCTCCAACATCAACGTATGCACTGGTGCAGTTCTCCAATCCTCCTGTGCAGCTGAATGAAACCAGAACCTCCACAAACCCACAGCCTGAAACTATTTATGCTCAAGTTGACAGAGCTGCCAAGTCCAACTCAAAGCCTGCTGCAGCCAGCAGATGACAGAGAAAGAAAATCAAAATGGACAATGTATATAACTGTTTTAACTGTGGCAAAAATGATCACGAACTGCCTCTCTGAACCAGCTTTTAAATGTTTTTACAAATTTAACTTTACATCTACTTACTGATAAAACTGTAAAATTCATGAAATTCTTTTATCCTCCACAAACTCAGGTGGAATTTGTGGACCTAAGAGATTTACAGTTATTATCATGATTAATATCAGAACAATGTATTCTATGTTTTGTTTTTATCATTAACTACAAAATACATTCTCTTCATCTTTTAGTATTTTATTTTTCAGTCTGTGAAAATTGAAATTTTGCTATTTTTTGCACGTTTGTGTTCTATACTTCTTGCTGCTATAGGCTCTGTTTTTTGTTGAGGTGCTTAAAAGTAAAACATATTTTAATTAAATAATTGGTTTTAGGAATAAAATATTATTACTGAATTGTGTGTTAACTTAGAAACAGCCACACACGAGACATTCAAAGACAAGAGTAGAATAATAGATTTTCTTTGTGCATTTTCACAACATCATCCTGTTTCTCTGGAAATAAGTTAATGATCTGAAAATGTAAGTAATATTTATTGAACTGTTGAGATAAAAAGCTTCAGGATTTAAATAAGTGGTAAAAATATAGTAATATCAAAATTTTTTCTAATGTTTAGTTCTTAGTTTTCTCAATCTTTTCCGTGCAGCAGTTGCATGAATCACTACAAGAGGGAGAGCAACCAGGTCAGATAAATAAGAAATGTTTAACCGTTAATTGAACCTCTGGAAAATATGTGTAAAAAGCTTTAAAGTACTGTAACATTTCATTTGTTCACGTGTATTATTCAAGTAAATTAGCTTACTGATGTATATTGAAAATGCACATAAGATTATAATTTCTTTTCACAGAGCAAGACAGAACAACTAATAGTTTCTACATATCCAAGAAGTAAGACCAAAAAAGTATGAAAGAATGGAGGGAGAAAAAGGAGAAAAGAGTGAAGGTTTAATTTATCGTTAAAGGAGGTTCAATTAACTGAGCTGCTGAGTTCAATGCTGTACTTTCTACATTTATTTTAAAGCATAACATTTTCCAGAGGTATTGTGCTTCGGAGACCAATTGAGCCTATGAGAAATAAATTGTTTGAAAGTGGAAATGTCAAAGCTTCTACAACAGGGAAAGCATGTTGCTTTTAATTGAGTGTGGAACTGATAAAGGGAAGAAAAGAAATGCCGAGTCTTGTTAAGATGTTACTCCAGCATTTCAGCTAAAACAGGAAACAATAAGGATCTAAATGTAGGAAAATCTATTGCAAAAGGTTTAAGAATAAACTTACTGAGATCAAGACAAATCCAAAATCTGCAAACACATCATTGCTTACTGGCAGAAGAAATAGATGTGACACTCATTAACAGAGTGAAAACTTTCACAAATTTTACCTTGCCTGCTTTCCTCATTGCTTTTGGGTTTTCAACTAAATTATGACAAAAGGGTCAAACAAAAATCATCAATTACAGATGTACTGATTTAAACTGGCCATCAGAACAACAAAGGATCGAACTTCTAATAATAGAGAGGAATAGCAACACTGATTTTTAAATTTATGTTGACATTAGGAGGGGTTTCAGATGAACTGATCAACTTCCTGACAGTCGAGATAAATCACCTATATTATAAGGTATTAACAACAAAAAAATCTTTACAGAAATGGGACTGGTGCATGTTATTTTAGAAAAGTTCTCATAAGAGAAAAGACATATTTAGAGCATTTTAGGTCAAGGCTTCCATTGTGACAACATGACAATCAGATTCACAGGCAGCATGTGTCATGTTTTCATTAACACCTGAACGGTACAGTTATGTGTTGTCATGTTAGATATTACAGGATTTCCTAACAGTGCACTTGAGAAAGAATTAAGTCCTTATTTGTCAGTTATTTGCTATTAAAAATCAGCAATTATATATCACAGAGAGAAAGAGCAGATATGGATTATTTGTACAATTTCATGGTATTTTGTATTCTCATCACATTTTATATTTTAAAAATATGTTGAATGTTTTTCTTTTTTCTGTTGCTGCTTTCATGATTGATGTAAAATACTTTTTTTTAAATTCACAAGCTTTCTGGAAAAAGTGTTGTGCTTTTTATTCTTTTTTTTTTAAATAAATCTACACTTACAGTAATTCATCTGGAACTGGTCAAATATACCTTGTATTAGACCCACACGGATTAAGTGCACCTGATAATGTAATGGCTTTACAAACCAGTGGCAATCTGGTTAGCATAAATTCTCACTATACATGGCGCCATCCATTTTCTCCTCAGTGCGGTGTAGTCATCCTGTCAGCTTTGCTGAAAATTTACCCCAAAGCATCCCTCCTCCTTTTGTTTGTTTTATTTATTTATTATTTTTTACCTTTTCTCTCTACATGACCTTCTCGATTGGATCATCAGATGATGTCTGGTAAACTCCAGACGAGCCTAGACATGTGGTAGCCTGAACAGGAGGACCTTACACAACCTCCAGGATTTTAATCTATGAGGGTGTAGTTTTAGCA